GGCGACGCGCTCCCCACTTCCTGTCCGGTGACTGACAGCCGCCCGCAGAGCGGTGCCTGCGAGGCCCTCTGGCCAGGGCAGTGGACGTGTCTGAATCAGATGCCAGGCCTCCGGGTCCCACGGGAAGGAGCTGGGAACAGCTGGGCAGAAAGAAGCCAGCCTGCAGGCTCTTCCCTTACCCTGGGTGACACTTAAGTTTTACCGCGCCTCCCACCCCGGCCGTGGGGCCTGGGCAATTTCAGTTTCAATGAGTTAAGATGAAGGAAATTTAAAAACCAGTTTGTCACATTTTTCAAGTGCCGAAGAGCCCCCCTGTGCCTGGAGGCTACCCTACGGGCCTTTCCATCTTCCAGAACCTTCCATGGCACAGCTGCTCTGGACTCTCCCGGACTCCCCTGACACACAGCCAGTTTCCTCCTCCTTCTCCAAGGACCAGGCTGCCTCCCCTCTCCTCTCTCTCCCTCCCAAGGCCCTGGCCACACACACGGCCTCCCTCGTTATCTGAGCGATACTCGTGTGTGTGCGTGTGTGTGTGTGCGTGTGTGTGTGTGTGTGTGTGCGGGGAGGGAGCCAGTCGTCACTGACGGACACTCAGGGGGCTTCCACACCTCGGCCTCTATGAATAATGCTAAGAACAAGTGGTGCAGCGATCTCTCTCAGATCATGTCCTTTCCTTTGGATAAACAAATCCAGCAAAGGTCAATGTACAAACCCAGTTCCCATGCACTAACAACGGACTATGGGAGAGGAACTGAGAGCACAACCCCATTTACAAAAGCATCACAAACTGTGAAACGCTCAGGGCATGTTTACAAAGAGACCAAACATGTCAGGGAACAGCTGATGGGGAAGAGAAGCAAGAGTCAGGGAGGAAGAACATGGAACCGGAGCAGGGAGACCAGGAGGGAGCAGCTGGGACAGGAGCAGGGAGACCGGGAGGGAGCAGCTGGGACAGCAGCAGGGAGACCAGAAGGGAGCAGCCTGGGACAGGAACAGGGAGACCAGGAGGGAGCGGCTGGGACAGGAGCAGGGAGCCCAGGGGGAGCAGCTGGGACAGGAACAGGGAGACCAGGAGGAGCGGCTGGGACAGGAGCAGGGAGCCCAGGGGGAGCAGCTGGGACAGGAACAGGGAGACCAGGAGGAGCGGCTGGGACAGGAGCAGGGAGCCCAGGGGGAGCAGCTGGGACAGGAACAGGGAGACCAGGAGGAGCGGCTGGGACAGGAGCAGGGAGCCCAGGGGGAGCAGCTGGGACAGGAACAGGGAGACCAGGAGGAGCGGCTGGGACAGGAGCAGGGAGCCCAGGGGGAGCAGCTGGGACAGGAACAGGGAGACCAGGAGGAGCGGCTGGGACAGGAGCAGGGAGCCCAGGGGGAGCAGCTGGGACAGGAACAGGGAGACCAGGAGGAGCGGCTGGGACAGGAGCAGGGAGCCCAGGGGGAGCAGCTGGGACAGGAACAGGGAGACCAGGAGGAGCGGCTGGGACAGGAGCAGGGAGCCCAGGGGGAGCAGCTGGGACAGGAACAGGGAGACCAGGAGGAGCGGCTGGGACAGGAGCAGGGAGCCCAGGGGGAGCAGCTGGGACAGGAACAGGGAGACCAGGAGGAGCGGCTGGGACAGGAGCAGGGAGCCCAGGGGGAGCAGCTGGGACAGGAACAGGGAGACCAGGAGGAGCGGCTGGGACAGGAGCAGGGAGCCCAGGGGGAGCAGCTGGGACAGGAGCAGGGAGACTAGAAGGAGCAGCTGGGACAGGAGCAGGGAGACAAGGAAGCGTACTCAGCCTCCATAGGGCGGCCGGGCCATGTGGAGGCCTGGAAAACATCTCCTGCAGCCGAGGCCCTAGAACTGGACGGCCCACTCTGCGTCCCCTGCCCCGCCCCTGCAGCCACACCAGGGCCACTTCTGGGGTGGGTCATGCACGGCCCAGGAGCAGGGCCCACTCCCTGCTGTTGGCCATTCCTGGTAGTCTGTGCACTTTCGTGCCATTTTCATGCTGTGGTAACGCACCTCGTTCACTTCGCTACCTCGTCTGGGGCTGGGACAGTGACGCTTAACCAGGACCCATGGGCACGCCCCCAGGTGCCTGCAGGGGCCCAGCTAAGATCAGGGCAGTGCTCGCCAAGCCCATCCTCTGAGTACTATGTCCTTTCATTGCCAAAGATGCAATACAATTTCATGGTCCGCAGGCCTGTAACATAAAATACCCCGATTTTTAAGATACGAGAGGGTTTATGACCAGGGGACATCCGTTCAGGAGTGAGTCCATGGTACAAATGAGTCAACTCATGACAACATTTAATTTCAGGAAAATTAACTCCATCAAGAAGCCCCGCCAGCACGTAAAGGTGAACGCCTATTAGGTGTCTCAGCGAGCAGCGAGGGCCTGGACGCACAGTCCATTCTCTGGCTGCTCCAAGCGCGATGCACTTCATACCCAATTGACCGTAATGGACAGCGCTCCAGGCGCTCGGTGCTCCGCGGGGCAGGGCGGGAGCGGGCCCATGGCGGACAGGCCGCGGTTACGGGAGATTAAGCTGTTCCCAAGGCCGGGCCAGCAGCACAGGCTGTTCTCTGCTTCAGGCCTGAGAAGAGGCTGTATGTCCCCACAAACGCCAGTGCCCAGAAAGGCTGCGGCTGCCGAGAACCCAGAAACCCAGCCAAGTCAGGTGGGAGGCCATCTCCTGACGCGAAGACGTCCGCCGCGAGCAGCCTCGGGGTAAAACACCGCGGAGGCAAGCCGTGTGCGAGCACACAGGGCCGGCGGCGGCGGCGGCAGGAAACTCGTGGAAACAAGTGGCGAGGGGGCCCTGCGGCCAGCACCAGTGTGCCGGTCCCACGGGAAGAGCCATCGTCCAGACCAAGGCCGCCTCCATGAGGGGGGTGGGGGGAGCTGAGACCCTGCCGCCCGCCTGAGGCCCAGCCTCCCACCCCCTCTCCATGCCGTCCACACAGGCTGCGGGGCCAGCGACTCCGGGGCCACACACAGCAGCTCCCACTCTGTCTTTGCAGGCAGCGCCCCCCAGCCCCCACCCCCGCCCCGTCGG